TGTGGTCATTCTTGTATTGTTCATTGTTACTGAAGATACTGAGAAATTGAATAGAGTTAAAATCTTTATTCATCTTCCTTGTGCTGCTGTGATTCACTTTTCACCAGTGGCCTGTGGGTGACTTCAGTCCCTGTTCAGCTCCGTTAGTTTGAAGGTAACATAGATCTTTCCTAAGCCCATCCCTGAACTCTTGCTTTTTTTTATTTTTCCTTGGGAAACATTTAATAGGAACACTTAAAAATCACATTTCAAGAGGCTCTCTGAAATACCCCTTTTCAGGTAGGGGTGGACCTGCTGGAAAGCAGTTCTGAGGAGAAGGGTCTGGGGTCCTGGTAGATATTAAATTATCTACGAGCCAGCAATGTGTCCTTGTGGCCAAGAGGCCAATGGGATCCTGGGCTGTGTAGGGCAGAGTGTGGCCAGTAGGTCAAGGGAGGTCATTCTCCCCCTCTGCTCTGCACTGCACTCTCCATTCAAATATGAGGAAGAACTTGTTTGGGGTGAGGGTGGCAGAGCCCTGGCAAAGGCTGCCCAGGGAGGGTGTGGAGTCCCCTTCTCTGGAGATCTTCAAGCCCTGCCTGGATGCTCCTGAGTGATGTGCTCTGGGCAGCCCTGCTTTGGCAGAGGGGTTGGACTGGATGATCTCTAGAGGTCCCTTCCAAGTCTGACAATTCCGTGATTAACTTTTTGTGAAATACTTCCTGCAGAACATATGCTGTGAAGCGAGGCCTGAATGTGGTGTGGACTCAAGTTTCCTTCTTTGGCAGGGACGTGGTGGAAGTTCTGCTGAGGAACGACGCGCTGACCAACGTAGCAGACTGTAAAGGCTGTTACCCTCTTCACCTGGCAGCTTGGAAAGGAGACGCGGACATAGTGAAGCTCCTCATCCACCAGGGACCTTCGCATACTAAAGTGAATGAGCAGGTCTGCCCATTTTTTTCTCTAATATATCGTTGAATCGCTTCCCGCAGATGGCAAGAGACTACTTCAGCTGACTCCTGCCCCTTCCCAGAGTAGCAATTGTTATAAGGTCCCCCTTGCTAAGGGGATAAGACGGGCAGTGCCTAAAGCGAGTACCTCCAGCTCTTAGTGGTTGAATGAGTAAGGTATATATGTTTACAGAGAGATACATAAATATGAAACCACTCAGCACCTAGCAGTGTTCTCCTGCTTTCATACCGGGCTTCTAAAACTAACCCCTAGTTTTTCCTCTCGGTGGATAGCTGAGAAGGTTTCTAGTTCTGTCGAAGGACACGTTGGCTCCCTTCTTTGGGAACTAATCCAAGCAGCTTTGTGCCCGTGCTCTCTTAGCTACTCTCCTGGCTTGTCTCTAGCACTTGCTCCAGTTAACTAATTTATAAGATCATTTTAACCCTACTTGCCCCCAGATAAATCCCCAGCTTAACCTTAAATAATTATTTTCTCAATCAGGCAAGAAAAAAAAATAATTCTGGTGGATTTCTTGCCTTTGTCAAGCTGATAGTTTTGGTGTAGGATGCAGAGGGATTGGTTATTGAGACAGTGATTCTATACAGGGGCTGCTGTGTCCCCCTTGGAGGGCTGACTCCCCCATAACTTTCTGCTGGAAGTCAGCAGGTATCTTACACTTCCCAAGGAACTTCTGAAATGCCCCGGGAAGACCCAGATATATCTTTTGTTTAAGAGTTTTAGAAAGAGGAACTGGTTTAGTGAGTGAGTCCAGTTGGGCAGCTTTACCGCACCAGTTATGGCTGGGTGCGCTTGGGCAGCCGTGCAGTAACAGATCCAAATCACACGATTAAAGCTCCAATACCTCTTGATTGTCCTGTCCCTGAAGCAGGAATATCTAATGTCCCTGTGAATCAACTCCTAAACCACTCGGGTTTTCATCCAGGAGGAGTAAACCAATGTAAGTTTGTCTGCCTTCGTACCACAAGGCTAAAAATGTATATTCATGCAGAAGTTAATTCTCAAGGTGGTCAGATACTCATGGCTCGAGTTCAGCAAAATCTGTCAAAGTCAAGATGAGCAGCTGGGAGCTGTGAGTTGCTGCTGCCTAATTTTGATCTGCTCTGGTGCATAGTGTCCCGAAGCTGAGGAGCAGACTCCCTTCAGAGTTGGGTTTAGGAGCCCTAATCCCACTTCCAGCCAGACTTTGTGGGGACCAAAGTGCCATGCTCGAGTTTCCTGTTCCTCAGTATAATACAGCTAACGATGCCCCAGGCTGCTCCAAGGCTAAAGGTCTGCTTCTAGAGCATCAGAAAACCAAAAATATGGTGGGAGTGCCTATTCACTACCACTTCTCAATTGAGCAGAAATAATTAAAAGCATGTGGTTTAATGTATTTGGTAGTTTTCCAGTTTGGGGCTATGGTTAATAGCGTCTCCAGGCAGAGCTGCAGGCACTCAGTCAGTTGAAATGGATTTGAGAAGTGCAGTTACCTGTTTACAATCCATCTGATAAGAATTGACCGAGGGCCCTGACTGTAAACCGTTGTGCTCTGAGCAGGACAGGTACAGGGCAAACCTTTACAAACAATTAAAAGCTTAGTGTAATCCTTCCAGGTAATGTTTCATTAATGTCTGTTTAGTAGGAGCCTTTTTAAATGAGGAAAGTCAGCTGAATTAGCCCCTGCTGCTGGTGTTGGGAGCCTTGTAAGTGGAAGGGAGAGTGGTTCAGGTTACAGGGATTGCAGCTGGAGCGGCTTCTGCTGCTAATGGCTTTGACTGGAAGGAGATGCTGTGTTCTGTCATTTCCCCCCCTTGGGAATCACCCATTGCTTTGTTGCTGTATCTCACCCATTTCATTATCACATTTTTTTTCTTTTTTGTTTTTCCTCTTCCTTTTTGTAGAATGCTCTTGAGATCAAAGAACTCAAAAAGTACGGCCCCTTTGACCCATATATCAATGCCAAGGTGTGTACTTTGCTGTCAGCATTTCACTGCATCATCACTCCAAGCTGCACTCGCGTGTTTCCAGGTGCAATAATACCTGTTCGGTTTGCAGCTGCTTGGGGAAAAGGAAAATGCAACTCATTTATTTACTGTGGGTTTCTTTCTTCAAAGCAGTTATAGAAACATAATTTAAAGGGAAGCTTTTCCTTCCTTACCTGGGGGCTCCTTCATTGCTTAGCCTTGTAGGACTCACGGTGATGGTCAGTTTGCTTGATTTGGCTGGATGACTTCCAAAAGGTAACGTCATTTCCATTCAAATGCTTTAGGTTGTGTTTCATGTGCTAATGTTGCTGATAAATGCAAAGAGAAGGAAATTTATTATTTTTTTCCTGCTTAAACATGGATGCGTTTTTCTCTGTGGGCTGTTTGGAGTGAATTTTCATGCCCTTTCTCCTACAAAATGCATAATGTATTTGTTGTTTGAACGGACAGTTAATACTCTTGGTGGTGGTGGGGAGAAGGGAAGGCAGTATCGTTCACGCCTCCCTTCCCGAGTCCTTCATGTCCTGCTTATTGCATCAGTCTCTCTTTTTTGCTGTTAGTCTGTGTCGTCTGACCCTTCAGCCCTCGTCACCTGTTCCTGTTCTCTTGCCTATTTTGCTCCTCTCTCGCTTATAGTTGTTCTTGAGCTACAGAAAGGCACGACACCAGCACTTAGGATGCTGAGCAATTGGGGAAGCAAGATAAGGAAGCTCCTGGAGGTGTTTTCTCAGACACTATTTTTTCATTTTATGATGGCAGAATAGTCTGCTGATTTATGGTGAGATACCTCTGCTCTCAGCCACAGCTGCTTCCAGCCAGTTATTCTGGATCCAGCCATCCATGGCACATTTCTGTCTCTCAGTGTTTAGTTAAAACTTTCCCTCTGCTTGATCTGCAGTACCTTTAAAAACACACATTGAGAATTCCTGAGCTTGCTAACCTCTGGGAGTTATGTTTGCTTTTGCAGACCTCTGTTTCAGGAAATACCCCAGTTCATACCGCTTTAAGCACAAATAGATTTACGTGAAGCTCAGCCGTGTAGATGATTTTTACAAAAAATCCAGAGGGGAATTTTACAGGAACAAATGTCTTCTGTGGAAACATCGTAGTGGAGCAGTTCAGTTGCCTGAAAGCAGCTTTCTAAAAATATTGTTGATAACAGAGTGAAATCTCACACGCTCCAGCATTTAAGTGATGGATGAAGAAGGAATATAAGGCTGAAAGATGCAGTGAGCTCACCTTGTGGATTTTTGTTTACAAAGTGTTCTATTTTGTGTTTTATATTTTTGACAAGTGCATTACTTTCAAACTCTTAGTTCAGTTTCCAAGGTGGCTGTAGTGCTCTCGAGAACAAGGCTGGAGGTTTTGAACTCTTTGCCTCAGTTTTTTGCAGAGAGATGTGGCTTATACACAACCTGTTGTGTTCATTACGAGTTCTCACCAGTTTTCCACCCGTTTCTGGCCAGGTTTGATGAAGAGCACGTGGAATCACACCTTCCTGCAGACCCTGGTGTTTTCTCGGTAGCCTGGCTGCGGGTGGGAGAACCGCACAAACCCCAGGATCTCTGGAATCTCAGGGAGTCTTGGAAAGACACATGGGAACAGCTTTTTATGCCCATTCCTTTTCAACACCTTGAGATTTCGACAACAGGAGGTCCCTGCAGTGTGTCTGTTGTGGTCCTGAAGGGCTTTGGAGAAGAAAATGACAGCAGCAAAGTGAAGAGGTGGAGCAGCAACTTTGCTTCAGTAACTCCTGCTGTCTTGAATGTGGTTATTTAATTAGTATGGAGGAACCAGGCAGTTGAGCAGAGCCAAAGCAGAAAGAGCCGTCACGTAGAGCTCAGGTTTGTGCACTGCACAAACTACCTTTGTCTGTTTTTTTTAATTGGAAGCAAATGAATCATGCAGATTGGGTTTAAAGCACTATAAATCTGAATGGGCTGCTGAGAAAAGTGGAAGCCGACCATCTGGAGTCTGCAAACCCACCCGCCGAGCTCCCGAAAGCTTGTTGGACATATGGGGATCGTTTTTCTGTCTTTTTCTGAACTGTTTGGCATCGTTGGGCACCTGTAGGAAGGAAGGAAGGAGGCCTGTTCATCCTTACTCTGCTGCTGTCGGGATGGAGATGGCGTGCTGCAGAAGGAGGGAGGAGATGGTAGGGACCAGGCAGCTCCAGCCAGCTCTCCTGGCCTGCTCTGTGCCTGAGGTCCTGGTGTGTCTTGGCTGTCACCTGGTGGAGTTTGGATTTTCCTTAGTGTATTTTTTTCCCTTTTATTTTGCCCTGGCTTTAACTGAAACTTTGCAGAGCATGTGGCCCCGGGACATCCCTGTTGTGTGCTTTAGGATGGGACGTGGCACCGGAGCAGCAAAACAGCAGGTTTTTAATAGGACAAGTCTCTGTTAGACACACACACACTCTGACTAAAATCCTACAGACGAGTCTTAGAAATAGGTTGTGTGGGACCGAAGGGTCTTTGCCCAGCCCCGGGGCAGGATCAGATCCACCCAAACCATTCCAGACCAGTGTTTGACTGGCAGCGTCTCCAGGTCCTCGGAAAGGGACAGCTCTAGAGTCTCCCTTGGCAGCTTTTTCAACCCTTCAAATCTGTGCAGGTTAGAAAGTTAGAAAACTTCCCCTTATTTCAGCCAAGTCTCCCTTTCTTCAATGGAAGCCCTGTTATGGTGTGTTAGGGACGGGGTGCAGACAGACAGGCTTCAAGGGGCTGTAGATTCCCCACTGTAGTGTCTGATGGAGGAGCACAAGGGCTGCGGTCTGCGGTATGTACTTACCAGGGCTTGAGAAATTGGATAGAGCCCATACAAAAGCAGAGGCATTTCTGCTGGCATTCCCCTTTGTGGTCTGTAGATGGGCATCCTACCAGCCCAGTTTCTCTCTCCCAGCTGTGAACTGGGGGGAAAGCTGGGATTCCTGCAGGAATGCGGCCCCTGGGCCTTGATGAGTGCTCTATTTTTCTAAGAGTAGTTTTGAAATTTGAACCCGTGTGCCTTCTGGCTGCTGGAAAGGAATTTTCTTTTTCCATCTCTGATAAATGCATATGTCTGAGAGCTCGTGTTCAGACTACTCTCTGGTTTGTGCTTGGAGAGGTGACGTGGGGAAGGGAGGCAAACTCCTTGCCTGGGACGGCTCTAGCACTTTTGGCTGCCCCAAACTCTCCCGAAACAGAGACAATAAAGACTTAAGCAATAACGGGACTTTCCAGTACACGGTCTGTGATGGGGAAAGACTCACTGTGATGATTCCAGGGAGTTTTACCACCTGGTGATCTCTGTTGCAGGAGGAAGGTCTGGGGATTTCACCCCAAGCATTAAAGCCCTGACCGGCTTAAGGAAAATGAGACTAAATTGCAGTGAAGATGGGGGAAGTCTTCAGCAATTATGTTGTTAAAGGACATTGTGTTCTCTACCGTCAGGCAGGTGTTCAGAGATTGCTTTAAAGCACCCTTGAGGGATGAGGGAGGGACAGTCGGGCAGTGGAAGTCCCCGTAGCTGGGGCTAGTGTGGCATGAGCGGTGCCTGCCCTGGGTGGCTCTTTGGCAGATCCCCGTGGCTCCAGTGGGGCTGGGATTGCCAACTCCTTCTGCAGAAACTGGCCAGGAGCCTCCCTGGTGTGGGCCGGTCTGCTGCTCGCCCTTCCCTTCCCTCTCAAAGAAGAATAATGCAATTTACCAACCCTTTAAATGCCTGGAGACCGGCAGCTAAAGCTGATTGATAGGTGTAATCTCTGTAGTTCTCTCTTCTCTCCCCTCCTCACTCTGTGTGTGTATTTTATGTGCAGATTTCTTTATTCTCCAGTAACTTCTGTCTGCTTGTACGTGCCTTCCTTCACCATGGCTGCCTCTGCCACTCAAGTGTAGAGCCTCTTGTTTGAATTTTGGCACTAACAGTGATGCTGTGCTTGCTTTACCTTCTGCAATACCTCCCTTCTGCATGTGGCTGGTGCTGCTTCTTGCCTCCGTAGCCTTTGCTTCCATACAAGCTGGAGCTGCAGAGCCTCTCCAGGACTCCTCTCTTCCCTCGTGCTTTTCATGTGGCTGGAAAATGATGCAAATCCCAGATAAAACCAAAGGAGAGTTTGCATGTGTGGCTCCTGCCATCCCTAGAACAACTTAACACGTTAACAGGATTAAAGTGCCTGGGCAACAGAGCAAGTTCTGCAGCGTGGTGGTGAAGTGGTGCAAAATATTGACTGCTCCTCCAAGCTGGTATCCAAAAAAAAAAAGCCAATCACATGTTTTCAAAGCTAAAAAGGAAGGTACTTTGATCAAATTTGGTTTCTAAAGTAGTACTTCGAAATCCATCAAGACCACTACGTGCTCTGGGTGGTTTTTTTAATGGGAGCTGTTCTTAAAATGACAAATTCAATGATGATTCTTGCAGCTAAAGTTTAAGTGGGTAACAGTTTGTACTAAAGATTTTTGGGTCAAATTGTTAGATAAGTATTTGTTCCTAAAGTGCTTTAACAGAAATCCCCCTGTGTATAACACACAGTAGTAAAGCTGGAAGCTTGAGGTGAATTTACTTCTAGAAAAGGCTCTGTTAAATCTGGCAACGTTCCTACTTTGCACCTGCAAGTGCAGGGTATTTGGTTGCTTGCCTTTCCACTGATTTTCAGCCTGGCAGATGCTGCACGTGTTAATTGGGTCTGGCTTTCGCTGTGGAGGTGCTCTCCTGTTGCTTGGACGACTCTTCCCTCAGTTGACCTGAGACCTTGGCTACAAGGGCTTGTTAGTGGAGTGATCTAATTGCGCTGCTTTCTAACTCACCACCTGCACGGGACCTAACGCACCCTTTCTCTAAACGGGGCAGCTCGTGAGCTTTGCAATTGCAAGGGTGGAATGACTGTTATAATCAGGATAAGTAGGATTTGAAACAATTGAAGTTTAAATCTAAAATGATGACGATAAAGCGACAGCAGATAGAATTCATGCTGCGGTTTGCTTGTCATACCTTGCAGCCTTTTATTTTTTGTGGCCCCCCCAGGTGTGGGATGCTGCTCACAAATAACACACTGCCTTCCCCAGGTGCTACCAGGATTAACGGGAACCCAGAGGAGCTGTATCCCTTAAATATTAGTATGGTCCCTTGATTTTTGAACTCAAAACAGGCTATTCCACATATAGCACCTATTTCTCATAGAGCAGATTTCCCGTCTCTGAGTAAAGCTTGCTGTTCCCAATGTTTTTGAAGCTTTTTCTGGGTGGGTTGTTTGATGAGTTCACGAGGGGGTGTCTGTGCCTGGTACCTGGCTAGTGAGATGGTGAAAACAGACCGAGGCTCTGTTTCAAACTGAGCTCTCTGCTTCCCCACTGCTTTTTTTTTTTTTTTGGTCTTATTTTTGCATTTAAACTTCAATGGTTTGAGCGAGGCTCGGAGCAGCTCTGTTCTCCCCCCGTTCTGACACGCTGGCCCTTGTCACCCCCTCCCCAGAACAACGACAATGAGACGGCGCTGCACTGCGCTGCCCAGTACGGCCACACCGAGGTGGTGAAGGTCCTGCTGGAGGAGCTGACCGACCCCACCATGCGCAACAACAAGTTCGAGACCCCTCTGGACCTGGCCGCGCTCTACGGGAGGCTGGAGGTCGTGAAGATGCTCTTGAACGCTCACCCCAATCTCTTAAGTTGCAACACCAAGAAACACACTCCCCTGCACTTGGCGGCTAGGAATGGGCACAAAACAGTGGTCCACGTCCTCCTGGATGCTGGCATGGACAGCAACTATCAGGTATTTTGTGTCTGTGTGCGAAGGGATGATTGCTGGGGGACGGAGAACCCCAGGAGCTCCTCCTAACCCTCAGGGATCGCTTACGGAAGATGAGCGATAGCTTTGTTTTCCCTCTGGGCTGTTTGTTCAGCTCTTGGTTGCTCTGAGAAGCTGCTCAGAGGAACTCTGGTGCTGTGCACGCTTCACGCCTGCTTCTTAGTTGGACAAAAAGCCCCAGACACATAGCGAGGGAGATAAAAAGAGGAAGAAAAAGCCCTTTTGCCTGAGCTATTCTGCCCTGCAAGTCTATGAGCTCTTGATAGCGATGGAGGCAAATTGTGTCTCTTCCTATCAAGCCACTTGTGAGTATGCTGTTTGCACAGCAATGACTTGTGTGTGGTGGTCTTGTCTCTCCTTTTCAGGACATGACCTCTTGCTAAGCTGAGGAAAGCCCTTGGTCTCCATCCTGGGCCCGCATGTCTCTCTGGAGAGACCATCCCCCCATTCTTCATCCCCCATTCTCAGCATTGTAATAATATCAACAGTCTGTCCACAGTTGTAGATACTGTCACCCACACTTCGTATGTGATGCTGTATATTTATTGCTTCTGTAACCTTCTCAGACGTGCCTCCATCCCCACTCCCCCCTCCCTAGCTTCATGCTGTTTTTCCATTTAATTTGCAGACTGAAAAAGGCAGTGCTTTGCACGAAGCTGCTTTGTTTGGCAAGACAGATGTGGTACAAATATTGCTGGCTGCAGGTGAGAGAATGATCCCCTTTTGAAGCAATGACCTGGTGATTCCTTCACCCAGAATTTGGGGAAACCCCTTTATAGTGGCAGTGACCAACCAGCCATGAAAGCTCCTCGGAGAGGGTTGTAGGAGAGGTGATATTTGTGTTTTTGGCTCTAGGTCTGCCTCACTAGAGCATTTTTTGGTCCCCCAGTGATGATAATGAAGATCTGACTTACTGAAAGACATGAATTTGCACATAGTTCAAAAAATATTCTCTCTTTTGCCTTCTCTACGCCTATTGCCGCAGGTATTGATGTCAACATAAAGGATAACAGAGGCCTGACAGCTCTGGATATTGTGCGGGAGCTTCCTTCTCAGAAAAGCCAACACATAGCAGCTCTCATTGAAGGTGAGTTGTGCAGCTCAGGGGGGCAGGAGGGAAAAGTTTGGGGTGATAATTGTGCTAGTGGATTTTGTTCTCTAGTCCTGGGAAGCGCTGAGAGCAAAGCAGCTTTGGGCCAGGTCCCTGGATGAGAATCTTGCAGGTGTTGGCAGGAATGATGCTTAAATCTTGGGTGATCTGTCTCCAGACCAAATGTTGGCAGGGGGAGTTCGGGGTAGGGGGGATTTAAGGGGATTAGCTCCCTTTGCTGAAGGAGTGTGGCATGACTTTTACAGTTTAAATGGGCTTAATTGAGCTTTGTTTAACTCACTTTAGAAGTTAATTAAAATTAAGGATAGCCTAAATCTTCTTGCCGAATGCAAAGTAATAGCTTTAGAAATGGTTTTGGATTAACTCTCCTTTATGTGTCTGTGTAGGCAAATAGTCATCCCACGGAGCTTCCATCCTACCCCTCGCTTCATTGTGAAGCTTGGGCAGGGATTGTGCAGATGAGATTTACAGAAAAGGCCTTGATTACTTGTGGTTTATAAAGGAGCTTGGCCCATTGTGTCTCCCCAAGTCAGGCAATAAAATGTGGCATCTTTGCTAAATTCATACCTTGTAATTATGCTGTCTCAATTTCCTCTCAGCTGTGGGGAGAGGAAGATGAGAAGCATATGCAACTGGTGTGCATTATTCATGCTTAGCATTTGAGAGCTTTGCAGGTTCAAAGGCACTTTGCAGACTTTTAATTAAGCTTTGCCTGTGAGGCGGGTAGGTATTATCTCTGTTCTGAAACTGAAGACACAGATGAGCTTTCAAACTAAAGATCTCGCAGGTAAATGCTGACGGTTCGCTCCTGTGAGCGAGCTCAGCTCTGTGAGGGGTTACTGTCTGGCTTTATTCAGGGAAGCTTCGTGTTCCTGGCTGTGCCTGTGGTTAGGGGACCACAGCTAGAACTGTTTCCCTGCTCTCTCTCCTCAGCAGACCAGACTCTGTCTCTGGTTAGTGATGTAGCTTGTGTCTGCAGCATGAAGTAATCTGCTCCGTGACGTCGTGGCTGTACAGGAGCTTTGCAGCTTTCTGATTAAAGACTCTGTAAAAGTTCAAAGAACCATCCTTAACCTTGGGCATGTGATTAAAGAGGCTGCCTGCTTCTATTTTTGGCATCTGAGCTGCAAGTTTTAATAATGTGCTTTGGTTTTTTTTTTTTGAAATGTAATAAGCTGACAGTTGGCCTTCCATCCACAAGGGAGGAAGCACCATATGCTGGAGTGATTGCAAAAAAACAACAACAACAAACTAGATTGACATAAACCCTGTTATCCCATCTCATTGCAGATTACACGATTGGGAAGAAAAGTGCCAAAGCTGTGGAGAAGACTGTTCCAGCCCCACTTGTTCCAGCCCCCGATCCCGTCTGCCGGGTGTCTCAGGGTAGGCTTCCACGGAGCACAGCAGTCACTCTTCTTTTTCTGAGGGCAGAAGCCCCGAGTGATGTATTTGTGTGTGTCTCCCTCTCCCAGGTGACGTGGAGAAAGCAGTTACAGAACTGATCATCGACTTTGATGTGAACCCAGAAGAGGAGAGCCCCTATGAAGCTTTATACAACGCGACGTCCTGCCACTCCCTGGACAGCCTGGCCAGCGGGAGGTCTTCTGACCGGGAGTCTGTCAGCAAGGAAGGGGAGTCTACGGGTCCCAAAGCAGCGGGAGTCAGGCCTGTACGTAGCTCTGTGTCTTCATCCCTGCTTGCCTTAGAAGGATGGGTAATTTACTTCCATTTTCATGATTTTGCAGCTGGCTGCCAATCCTCCAGCTTGAGGAAATCTTTAAAGCCCTCCTTGACGTTGATTAGAGCAGGCGGGTGCCTTTCCTTTTCACTGGCCCGTTCACGTGCCCACTGTGACATTGCCCACAAGTAGCCACTTCTACATGCCTGGTTTTCACCTGGTGCTGCATCCTGCTGTCTTTTAGCAGCTAAACACGAGTAGGAACTTCTTTCCTGTGAGGGTGGCAGAGCCCTGGAAGAGGCTGCCCAGAGAGGTGGTGGAGTCTCCTTCTCTGGAGACATTCAAACCCGCCTGGACACGTTCCTGTGGGACCTGCTCTGGGTGGACCTTGCTCTGGCAGGGGGTTGGATGAGATGATCTCCAGAGGTCCCTTCCAACCCCATAGCATTTTGTGATTCTGTGAATCTGGTGCCTGTGAGTTTTGGTTTTTCAGGACATTGCCCTTAGCTGAAGGGCTAACTTCTCCTTAAAAAAGCTTTGGAAACTTGTATGTGAAGCCTTTTTCTCATCTGTCTTGCTCCCTGCTTGGCCCAAGAGAAGGCTCTCAAGAAATTATCTTTAAGAATATCCTGTTGGAAGCTAGTTGGCAGCCAAAATGTCTTTTTGTGTGTATTACTTGCAGAAGTCTGTAGAGGGTACTCAAGGCTTTGCAAGGCCGTGCAAAGCTCCTGGAACTGTCTGCAGAGAAGTCTTCCTCTCCTGTTAGTTGCATCTGCTGCCCCCTTAGTGATCTCCCCCTTAGCTGTGGGGCAGACGGGGCACTGGCCTCGCAGCGTGCTGTGTCAGGTTCTGGGTTTGTTTTCGGGTTGGTTTTACAAAGCCCTGCTCTGTGGATGTAGTTTTGGACAAAGGGTAAAGCAGCAACGAACAATTAAACTGCTAGTGGTGCTGTAACTATGCTTCTCTGCAACTATTAGCAAATGTAGCAGAAATGAGACAAAAGCTTTAGAAGACTGTTGTTTCAGGCAGATTTCTCTTTAGGGTATCAGTACAGATGCCCTGAGTCCTGTTACTAAGTCAGTCTTGGCAGCTTATATCCAGCTGTGTGCTGAGTTAGTAGTGTCTGATGTGAGATAAGCTCAGCTCTGTCACAAATAAGAAAGACGAGAGGCTGAACTGCTGTGGAAAGGGAGAAGAAAGAGGGACGTGCTCCAGGAGCTTGCTGGAGTTGTGTGGAGTGGATCCCCTCTGCCGACCATCCCTGTGCCGTTAGATGGAGCTGTGGCAGGAGAGGACCTGGAGATGTTTCCTCTGCAGCCGGACCAGGCCGCAGCTCTTGCTGCCCACAGGCCGTCTTGGGCTGTTTGAGGAATGCAGTGCAGCATTGTCTCTCGATCTCTAGGGTTTTTCACTATAAAAGGTGCCTCTGGAATCATTTATTCTTGTTACTGATTCATTAAGTGATGAGTCTTCCCTTTCTCCCCATCTGCATGAGTTCGTTACTGACCTTCACCATGTAACGCTGAGATTTCCAGTCTGGGTCTGAACAAACTGGTTTAAGTAATGAAGCAATAAACCTGTGTACACAGCACCTTCCACCCCACCAGTTTTATTCTCCTGAGAGCACAGCTGGTGCTCAGGTGGGTCTGAGTTGGCCTCATGCAATGCCACCAGTGCCAAGCAGGAGCGGGTGGTCTGTGTTATCCACCCACAGGGTCAGTCTGCAGAAAGGGTTCTCCCAAATTGATATCCTGCTGGAGAGGAGGAGGAGGACAGTGACCAGTGACAGGACAAGAAGAAATGGGCACAAACTTGAATATAAGAAGTTCCACCCAAACATGAGGAGGAAGTTCTGTACTTTGAGGGTGGCAGAGCCCTGGAAGAGGCTGCCCAGAGAGATGGTGGAGTCTCTGTCTCTGGAGATGTTCAAAACCCATCTAGATGCCATCCTGTGTAACCTGCTCTGGGCAGACCTGCTTTGGCAGGGGATTGGCACCAACCCCGGTCATTTAGTGATTCTGTGAGGAAGAAATGCAGCAACCATCGCCAAGCTCTGAGCTGTTAGGACTGAACTTCTCCTCCATCTGGAGGAATTTGGGGAGGTCCTTACTATGCTGCGTTCACAGCAGGGTGGATGTAGTGCTGGGGGGAGTGGAAGGGGACGTACTTTAGCACGACGTGCAGTTGACAGTGGTCTTCTAAACCGCAGAGAGAGCGTCCACCCCCGCCTGCCAAGCCACCGCCCGATGAAGAGGAGGAGCAGCATGTAGAGAAGAAGATAGGCCATGGTGCTTCCTCTGAGGTACGTGGGACTTGATCTGGCGTGGTTTATAGGAGTGTGGCTTAAAGAACAGTTTTAATAATTTGGGAGGAGCCAATTCCCTCGCGAGTCAGGTTGTGAATGGGAGGTTTCCTTTCAGTCCAGCGTCGCTGCTGTCACTCGCCATGGGAACTTCCTTTGTGTGGTTCTTCCAGGGCACCTCGGTGTTGACCTCCAGCCTTACTTTCCTATTCTTGGCTGAGAATTCCCTTAGGAATCCCTCTGAATCACGTTGCAATGTGGACTGTTGCCCACTTGTAATGATCCCACCAAATGCATCTTCACTTGAGAGTGAAACCCAGAGGGCCATTAGTTCCTGCTGCTTCTGAGCCTCCAGCTGTGGAGGAGATGCGTGGGCTTGTGGGTCCCGCTGACGTGAACAGGGATCAGGGGCTTGAATCCAGCCGAGAATCTGGCCCCAGCATATGTTAAAGCTGTCTTCTGCAGAGGTCAGTGCATGTGAGCTGCTTTTTGATGAAACTAAAGCTTTTTTATTCTGCATTGTTGCTTCTGGCTTCCTATCGCTCATTTTTATTCACCTGCCTGTGAACCTGAGGTTCTCCCGGGAACCAGGGCTCTTCAGAAGACCTGTGCGTGGGGGTGTGAAACCACAAATGTGTCTTGGCAACCTCTGACACCCAGGAGAATCTTCAAAGGAAACCCAAATCTTGTGGATTTCCTTACTTTCCCAAGTGCAGTTGGTTGGATGTGAAACAAGTGGAGAATGTCCCGCCTCTCGCTGTCGGAACAGGCTCCAGTTCACCAGACACTTTGCTTCAAATGTGTTATCTCCTGAAGTTCCTACAGGCATAAATGCGATCTGTTTTCTTGAAGTATGTCAAATCTCTGCGAGACACGAGTAAACATTATTTGCTTTAATGGAACTGCCTTTTTATAGAGAGAGCCAAGCTCCAAACAGTGCATTAACAGTAAAATTGAAATATGAAATTGTGGCCTGATGTCTCCGCTGCTGTTAAAAGGGTTTTGCAGCGTGTGATACCCCGGTCCCGTGGCCAGCCCTGGGCAGAGCAGAGCTGAGTAACGGGTCAGGCATAATTAGAAAGCAGAACTTGTTCATGACGATAAACACGAGGGAGGGAAATGTGCATTGACTGCTCCTGCTGAGTTATCTGGCCAGATTTAATTATAAAACACCTGCTGTGTTGTCCTGCCACTACGGGCTTTGGAAACCATGATCCATTAAAGGAATCTTGCTGGCAAATAGACTTGTAGGCAAAGCGACTCGCTGGGGAGATCTTGATTTGCAACCAATCCCATGGGTAGACCTTGCAGGCAGTGTGTGTCGCTGCCTGGACATGACCTTCTGGATGTCCCGATACGGCAGGTTTGCATCTGATTCTTTTTTCTTAAGCTGAGCACCCCAGAAATAGCAAGTATTTTCTGCCTCTTGCCCATTATTTATCATCTCTGTACGTGTTCTCTCTGGGCTGGGCAGGCGAGGACAGGAATACGCTGGGGGAATGCTGTGAACGTCTCGGTGCAGCATCTGCCGCCCTCCAGACCTGCTCTGGCACCGGGGCCAGGACAGTTACTCATTGAATGTTCTGGGGTCGGGCCAAACTCTGCTTTCCAAAGGAGTCTTTTGATTCCGTTGCCAAGATGGGACTATCTGTCAAAGCAGATGTGCATAAACAAGAAACTTTTAACTTTCATCATGGAAAAACATAAGTACAAACAGGCAAAAGAGCTGATTGTTTGGAGGTGCTGGAGTGCCGCCTTTCACTATCTGCAGAAACCTTCTGGGTTTGCAGCTGAATAAGAGCCTGCCTTGTCCAATTAAACTTCAGTTTCATTTGTTTACTACTCATCTCCGAAAGGGAAGTGCAGACAAAAGCCGAGGCGCCGGGATTGTTCCAGCAGTTTGATCTGTGCTTCTGGTGGGGGAGGAGAGAGAAGGGAGAAGAGTTGTCCTTTAAAAAGACTTTCAAAGCCCACTGCTGCTGATTAAGTACACTTTAAAGAGTGCACTTGTTATTAACAACATCTTATTTCTGGGCTTTGCTAATAGCGAATATTTATACATGCTGAATGACATGTATAAATAAATGAAAGATGAATTGGAGGAAAGTTTTTTTTCTGATGGTTGTGTCACTCCTGGTTGCAGAGCCTACAGAGCAAGGAGGGGTCTCCAGCAAAAAATGGTCTTCGTTTTGAGCTAATTTGAACCCCAGACTCCCTTTAAAGCTTGGAAGGATGAGAGATGGAGAGAATACTGTGTGCCCAGGCCCACGAACACATGCACAAAAGTTTACAGAGCCAAAGCTGGGGATTGTGTGCTGCTGGGGAGCTGTTTTTGGTGCACTTGAGAGAGGACAGCACAGTCCTCGTCACCCGCGGGGGTCCGGGGAGAGTGCTAATGCCTGGCCTGAGGTCCAGGCTACAACTGTGACGACAGGCTGCTGCTGTGCAGTATTTTTCCAAGATCTCTAGCACGAGCCTGTTACCTGCTGTTACGGTCTGCTGGTTTTGTGCCACCATCTGGTCAGAAGTTTGTTTTGTTTTTTTTTTCCTTAATTTGCTCGTTATGAGCTCCTTCACCTGAAAAGCAGCAGATCCGCCTGACGGCTCATGCTTGAAGCAGGTAGAATAAATACTGTCTTTGCTGGATGTGACCCGTTTCCTCCCATTGAGAAAGTTGATTTAAAAGCCAGCTGGGCTTGTGCAGGAACAGCACACGGAGGCAGGACTCCTCCTGTGCTGCTGACTCCTGTGTGTCTTTCCAAGACTCCCTGAGATTCAGAGATCCTGCCTACATTGCACGCGGGTAGGTCATTTTTTGTGGAGCCTGATGTGAAGGGGAATGGTTTGAAACTAAAAGAGGGGAGATTTAGGCTAGATTTAGGGAAGAAATTTTATACAATGAGGGTGGTGAGAGCCTGGCCCAGGTCGCCCAGAGAAGCTGTGGCTGCCCCATCCCTGGAGGGGTTCAAGGCCAGGTTGGAGGGGGCTTGGAGTAACGTGGTCTGGTAGGAGGTGTTCTTGCCCAGGGCAGGGGGGATGAACTTAGATGGCCTCTGAAGGTCCCTTCTAACCCAAACTATGAGTCTGTGAGGTACCTATTTACCCTTGAAGTAACTCTGATACTTTCTTTTGGGGAAATTAATGGTTGGATTTGATAATCTCAAAGGTCCATTCCAACCAAGATGGTTCTATGATTCTGTGAAACTGGAGGTGGTGCTTAGTCTGCTCCTTAGACAGCAGCAGTTCCAGGAGCCCGTGAGGAGTACGGGAGCCCTCCTTGGGGGGATGTTTTGTTTGGGCCTGTCCTCCCCTGGCTCAGCCTTGGGTTTGACCTCACCACACTTGCCTGTAGGAGCACATGGCTCCTGGGACTGGGCTGCATCCACCTGCCAAGGTCTGGCCGGGAGATGGTGCTGAAAGGCAGCTGACCATGTGGGCAGGCTGTTTTGAAGCTCAGTTTGGCCCCGTTAGCACTGGGATGGCACTGGTCACTCTCCAAGGACGAGGAATGCCTGTCACCCTTGGCACTGAGGTGGACCAACACGTGTGAGTCTGCAGCGTGACTACTTTGGATCCTGCATCGAGATCGCGTTCCTACCCATGGATGGTGGCTTTCCAGAGCAGCTTGCTGGAGCCTCTGCCAGTGTTACAAACAAGCTCTAATCAAAGGCTTTGGGGGATTTAAATGAGCACATCCCGAGCTTAAACTGAGTTTATACAGTATTTCCTGAGGGCTCTTTAGTCCTAAATACGCCGAGCATCCTGAGGTTAGAAATGGGAGATCTGAGAATTCTGGGAAGGTGGAAGGGATTTGGGCTTTTTTTTCTTTTTTTTATTAGTCATGTCCTAATAGGGCCAGCAACTAAATAGTGACTGACGATGCAAATTCCAACCGCAACAGTAAATCTGAGTTGGGATGAACAGGAATAATGGTCTCAGCTCTTTTCCCCCCTCCAGGCTGTCTGCAGACCTCGCGGAGGGAGTCAATTGGTCAGCACTACAAAGCTGTCAGCAGCCCTAAATACTAGAAAATAAAGGGGATTTGGGGGGTTTTGAGGGGAAAAATAAAAAGAAGTGAGGGAATGACCTGCTTTGGCAGGGGGGTTGGACTAGATGATCTCCAGAGGTCCCTTCCAACCCCATGTGATTCTGTGAGTATTACATTTTAGATCACACTCCACAAGCGAAGGTGTCGCCTCTGCCAATTCCTTGCTTAAACCATGGCATAAAGAGGCCTTGTTGCTTTATTGCCGGGATAAATAACATTGCTTTGTGGAGCTCTACATGATGCTGTTTTTCATTAGGCCTCTGTTGCACGAGGAAAGAGCAAGGGCAGCGGAGCTGAGGAAGAGGAACACCCTTACGAGCTGTTGCTCACAGCAGAAACGAAAAAGCCGGTTGCAGTGGACAGGAAAACAAAAGGTAAGTGACCATCCAAAAAGCAGAGCTGTTTGCTTAGATGCATTTAAGGGAAATTAGAGAGGGCAGAGAGTAACTGGAACAATTAAACTCTTTGCTGGGTGGGGCGGCTGGGGTCTGGATTGCAATTGTTCTGTTTCCTGGTAGTCTTCACTTTTTATAAAGGAGAGGTCTAAACGTTCCTGTACAAACTGTACACAGAGGAAGGGCAGCTCTGCTATTTTGACAGCTAAGAGATTGCAGGGACCTGCTCTGTTAACTTAAAAAATAAGCAGATCTTTTGCACAGTCAAGTAACTGCAGGGGGGTGGGAGGCTCTGCCTCGTTGTCACAAGTGAGAGGGACCGAAGCGAGCGTTTAAATGAGCCATGTTCTCCATCCAGCTGAATTCAAAGACCCGCTGGCATCGCACGTCTGTATCAGCAGACGATTTGCCCTGCTATCCTGGTCTTAAAATCATCATCCCACTGTGTGTTCAAGCTAATTTGAGATGTAAACTAACAAAGGAGGAAAACAATCGTGTGTAGGGCAAGCCCCTTTCTAGAGCTGACTGAAAGTCCCCCACGTAGCCAGGTTAAGCACGGAGCTCAGCCTTCTTCTCCCAGAGGGACTTGTGTGCTTTACAAAGGCTCTGGGAACACCTTGTCTCTTGTGCTTGGCTATCGCTGGGCTTTTTGGCTTCCCTTCAACAACAACAACAACAGATTTGTTTAGAGGGAAAACATCTCTTGCTTTATTCGAAAGTCCTGAGCAGGAATTTGTGGAAGGATTTAGTTGGGTACTCTAAACCTGGAAACCATCTCGCTTTGGGGATGAACAGAGGATAACGTGGACTCAATGTGATGCCTCATTGACTGCCCTGTAAGACCTGGGCTTGGGGTTTTTTTTCCCTTCTTGCAGCGTGATTGCTTTTATTCCTTGAGTCCTGCCACCCTCCTGGCTTGTAGAGGGTGGCACAAGAGGTCACTGGTTTCCCACCAGGATTTGCCAAAGCCACTTGCTGCCAGAGGCAAAGTTGGGATGCTTTTCATGTTGGTGCTTTGCAGTCTCGGCCAGGAATAGCCCTTGGGTGACAGCCATTGAACCAGGAGCTTTCAGGCCTTTTCAGTGCTGGTTATTCAAGTGCGAGCTATTCCTGACGGGCTCTGCCCCTTCCCCTGGCTGCCCTGCTGAGGCTTGATTAGTAGGAGTGAAGGTGTGTCATAGTTATGTGTCAGCTTAAAACTAAATCTCAAAGTACTTCATCTGCTTGTTCTTGATGCAAATCTCTTCCCCTGAACACCTGAAGACATCAGTACCACAGGCCCTCTAAGCCCCACTTCATGGAGAGGTTGCAGGAAGCATCTTCAGCCCATTTAGGATCCAGAGCAGAGCCCTGTTTTTTAATGTACAGCTACAAAAGTAATAGCTGTGATTTCAGGGTTTGCAATCTATGACTGTGTTTGTAACAAACCTAGAGCCCTTTCCACTGTTGTAGTAGGAGAAATCCAGGGGTGCAGTTGAGGTTTCTCATCTTCCAGGATTTGTCCGCTCTTTTTAATGTCATTAGCACTATGTCTGATGCAGTGGAGCCTCCTGCCTGGTGGAGGAGAAGAGCTGCTCCCTGGGGGAAGGGGCCCACCCAATGTATTTCTCATCTCTTGCATTTCTTAAGCTTGCCAGAGCTGTTGCTCTTCATCGGGGACCTGGAGAAAGGGATGTGATTGTTTGTCTGCCTTCTCCAGAGGGTACCAGCTGTTTTCCCAAATATCTCAGAGCTCTCCCTGTGGCATGGCTGCACGTGTGGCAGTGTCCCCAGCTCCCCCAGTACTGCAGGAGCAGCTCAGCTTTGACAGGGCCCCATGTCATCTTTCACCGGTTGCTTGTCCTCTCGGGGACTTGGGGCTTCCAAACCCCACCAGGAAACGAGGCACCAACTGGTTTTCTCCGTGGTGGTGCTCATCCTTGCCCTCTGTCCCAGCCTCACAGGTTGTGTCTTTGTGCACAGGAGCTTCATGGCTGATCTGGAAGGGTGGATCAGCTTTGAAATCCGCTTTATTGCACTGGGAACAAAAGGAAACGTTTCCGGCTTTCGCAGTCCTTGGGGTCAGATGCCAGAGGAACAGACACAGCAAGCATGAAATGCGAATTTTATCCTGGTGGGGGTGGAGGAGAAGATGCTTTTAGGCACTAGCAGAATCGTTTTGGCAAAAAGTTGAATGAGGGCTGAGTGATGGACTGAAGCCTCAATTGGGGTGTTGGAGAATTTTCCCACCTCTGGATCAGAAGGGTCCTGGAGCATCAAAAGCAGCAGCTCAATCCCAGGACAAGGAGCGGGGTTGAAGCCTGGCTTGGAATTGCTGCTTGGCCCTCGATCTGAGAGCCTGGGCTTCTAGATGTTACTTGATGAGTTCTGGAGGAGCTGTTGGTCAGGAGAGGAGGACTGTGATCCTCACAGGGTATCAAGAAGGGCTTTTCAGGGCAGCTGAAAGGCTGAATTTCAGGCCCGCTGTTTTTAATGGTGCCTTTCATCTGTGATAGCTGCCTTTGTTCCTCTTGCTGCAAGTTGTCTGGTATCCAGTGAGTAGATGAATGTGGTATTATCCGCCTGGCTTTGGGTGCCTTTTGTGTAGGTTACAGCAGTTTGCTGTCACATGCTGGAGCACTAGGAAAACTTGGCCTAATGTTTTGGGCAGAGGATCAGAAGTGGTTGGAGCCAAATGCTTTCCCATCCCCTTTGGTAAGGAAACTACGTGCAATCGCATGCCTGAAGTCAGGGTGTTTAGACCTTCTAACGGGACTTGTAAATAGGGCAAAAGTGGCAAACTGACCAGGAGGAGACTGCACAACTCCTGCTGCGCTCAGAGAGGTCTGCTGGAGGATGGATACGAAAATACTTCTAGGTTTTGATGTTTGTCTTCCTTCTCAGCAGAGTCATCCTTAGTAACCAGCTGCAGGTAGGACTGACTTGGTTCCTTCTGAGGGTTTTTAAAAACTGCTATTTGTCCAGGTTCTGCTGTACTGCTTCCATAGGAAGCCCAGCTTAAAGTCCCTACTTCTGCCTTTTCTCCTGCTGGAGTTGCTCTTTATGGTTGTACTGGCTCAACCAGGTGTATGGCTGTGCTGTAAGCCAGGTAACTGACCCAACGATAACAGACGAGACATGCTGCTGAGAGATTTGAAGGAAATACCTTGTCACAGAGCTGGAATGTGGCTACAGCAGCAGTGGGGTGGGCATCACTGTAGGGAATCTACAGGGTATATACACGGGTATTGCAAAGAAAGGTTGGAATGGACAGAAACCTCTTGATTTGCTGTGAGATGAGTGACAGTGTAGAACCACCCACCGCCTGCACGGCCGGTTTTATCAGGGCTGGAGGACAGACCCTTTTCCTGTGTCTCAGGTCCAAGCCTGCATTTCTGCTATCATGATGTAGTTAGAAGCTTCTGTGCAGTCACATTAGGGATCTCTCTAAGCAACTAGGGCAGTGTTTTATTGCCCTCTCTTAAAAGAGGGCTGGGGGAGGGAGTACAAATGAGCACAGGTCAGGTTCAGGTAGCTTTTGGAGGATAAACTCTGCCCAAAATGACAATAAGACTAATAGAGGAGTGTACTGTACACTTTGGGGTTTCACGTGCAGTATCTCACTGTGCAAATGAGGCTTTGGTTTAGTTTTACTGCAGTTGAAGGTTATTTTTGCACTTCTGAAGTAGCACCCTAAAGACCAGCTTCCCTTTCTTCTCTGGCCTTCTGTGCCCCAGGATGCTCCTCACTTGACAAACGCTGGCGTGGTGTGGCATGGGGAGCCTTTTCTGTGTGAAAGCTGGAGACTAGCATGTGCCTTTGCTAGTTTGAAGGTTGAGGAGCTTGAGCAAAAAGCAGCTGCAATAACAACTTCATTCCCCTAATCCAGGGGCATGAAACAAATCCTGCTGATGATATATAGGGAAAGAAATTTGATGGAGGCAGGGCGGCTGCAGCTCCGTGCTCGGGGTTTAGGGAAGTGCCTCATGTCTGGGATCATTAGGCTGCTGGCAGGGAAGCTCGTAATTGAATCCTGCCTGGGAAGCAGACAGCCTGGACCCAGAAAGGGGTTCCTGTTCCCACTGGGTGTTGGAAGTTCCTCCTGTGGGTGCAGCAGGCGTTGGCTGAAGAAGTGAGGACCAGTCAGATGTCTGTGTTTGGGTGTAGAGTGAGCTCAGAGTTGGACAGAAGGCTCTGTGTTAAGGACGTCTCCCTTTCTGAGTTAAAAGGTGTAACTGGAGGAGGAGCTTTCATATCCCTTGAAGTGCAGCAGATGGATAGAACCAGGGTCTCTCTGATTTTCTAGCACCTAAAGATTATTTTCCCCTTCTCCAAATTCATTGCACCCTCAAAAAATGAGTACTGTTCATTTCTTTTCCATGAGAGAAACTATCAGCACATCAGTTGAATCATGTCAATAACTTATCCCCAAAAAGTGCCCCTTTCTGAGGTGGCCAGTGGTTGTTCTGGCCTCTCTGCTGGCCATCCTGAGGCACTTTTAGGTTGAAACCCCAAAAGGATTCCTTGAAACCCCAGGATCCCCCAGGGAGCCCTCTGTGTTTCTGATAAGGAGTGAGATTGCTCTTCCCTGCCAATGTTGGTTCTTCTGTTGGCAGCTTCCAGCTCAGGCTCTTACACGCTCTGAAATGTCTCCTTCAAGATGTTCCTCACATCTTCTGGGCAAGCGCTGTTGTCCTTGCTTCACCCCTTCCTTCCCTGGCAGCTGCCTTGTATTTTGAAGTCCTCCTTCGTCGGCTGGAGGCTGAATGGGTGGTTGTGATTTCTGCTCAACAGGAGCCCTTTTGTGAGTCTCTGGAGCTGGATTTGGAGCACTTTGTTCTGGCTGCACCCAAGTGTTCCAGCACGTGGCATAAACTTTCAGCAGCCGCCTCTCTGCCTTCAGCAGAAATGTCAGTAAAGGTTAAGCTGGGGCATGGAAAAAATTATTTCCAAGGCAGGAGAGAGGTTAAGAAGAAAAGCTGTTGATTTCGCTAAAGTTTTTCCCTCCCCATCAGGTTAATGTCACTGTCCCGTCAGCGCTGTGTCCCTCTCACCAGGTCGGTAGCTTTTTCATATTAATAGCAGTCTGTCCTGTGAACACAGCATGCCCAGTCTCTTCTAAGGTTTCTCTCCAGCCTTACGGCTTCATAACTTTATGCAAAGTAACTGAACGTAGTCTGGTGTTGAGATCTTCAGCTGGGGTTGGCGCTGCCCAACCAGCCTTAGGAGTGATGCTGGAGACACCACCTGCCCGCGGGGGACGTGCCTCCCCCTTGGCAACTTCAGCTGCAGAACTTGTGGTTTGATGTGCCCGGGCGAGATCATCAACAACTACTTCATTGTCCTGGAATCTTTAACTCGTAGGATCCAGAATGAAATAAGCCCTCGCATGGCTTGAGCCCGGTGAGGAGCGAGCTCTGCCGACGCTGCCCTGGCACTTCCCCTCTGCTCGGGCTTTGGCTCTTCCTGACTCAGCTGCCAACTGAGCAAACGGCTTTTTTTAAATTTCTGTGGAGTAAACAAATGTCTGCGAGAGGGATGAGCTGTGCTCATCAAACATAGGGCACACGAGACCCCGGGATCTGGAGCGGCTGGCAGAGATAAATGAGTAATTCAGTCCTTTCCTGCCTCATTTCTGGTGTGAGGACAGACCACAAAACCAGATGGGTGTCAGGGTTTGAAAATGATCCGGTCAAGCCTAGTGCTGGAAAGGATGCTGGGGGGGAAGGAGTTGATCTCACTGGTGTTGTTAATAGGCTGCTTTTAGTTAAAGATAAGTAGAATTCATTAGTGTATTTTGCCTCACTGAAATGAGGATTCCTTTGCCTTGGCTGCTGAGAGCTGCTGTCCTGCAAAGCGAGCAATTTCCTCCTCTCATCCAAACATCCTCCTTGCCTTTCAGAGCCACATTATGGGGGTGCTTTGCTCTATTGTCCCTTTGCAGCGTTGGTTTTGGGGTCCTTAGGCTGAAGGGTGTTTCTTCAGCAGTAAATGGAAGTGGTTAAAATTTGCCAGCAGTTATGGGCAGGTACGGGAATCCTCAGCAAACACAAGTTGCACTCCTTACCTTTACAGAGTTCTGCTCTTACAGTTCAAAAGCACGTGTGTAACGTGACCAAGGTGAGCACACGTATGTCTGCACACTCTTGGTGATTGGCATCAGTCAATTATTCATGATTTATCCAGGGCCCTGGTACCTGATATTAAAGCTGGGGGTGCAGGGGTGGCTGAGTGGCAGTGTCACGTTTCGGGGACAGACGGTGCCCCACGCAGCCTTTGTCCCTCATCAGCCCCTTCTGTGTTCAGCGGTTCGCTTGCAAGAGAGAGACTTTTGGATCGAGTGTTTTACTGCATAAACTGTTTATTTCTCTCCTCTGAGGAAGGAGGAGAGGTTAAACTCGGAAACCGCTAGGGAGGAAAGCAGTGCGTGGTGGGGTTTTTTTTGGGTGGGTTTTTTTTTTTTTTAAGGGAAGGGATTGTGGAACTCGCAGGTTTGATTACAGTCCAGCAGTTTTCCCACCCAGCAGCTCATGCCAAGAGCAGGGAGCGCTGCTCTAAATAACACTTTGGCCTTTATGGAAATGTATCAGATGTTCCAGGAGCCTCTGTCTCCGCTTCTCCTACCTCACTTGCTCTCTCCGCAGGATATAGTTAGCACTTCTCTTAGCCTTATATAGCAAGGCCTGATAGTTAGTGTTAACAGGAATAAAACAACAAGGAGAGCTGCCAGATTGCATAAATCAGGCCAGTGTTTGGAATTTCATAAATGCCATGACTTTGGGTACAAGTTGAGCACGCGGAACAATACTGAACTGTTCTCTCTTTATCTCTCCCTCCCTCGCTGAGGGAGGGCAGGGGGAGAGCTGGAATTTTGCTGCTTCTTCCATGTTTTTAATTCTCCCCCCCACCCCTCGTTTTCATCCCATCGAAGACCACAGGAGGAGCAGTGGCAGCCGCAGCCAGGACTCCGCCGACGGCCAGGACATCCAGGTTCCAGAGCAGTTTTCAGGGTTGCTTCACGGCTCTTCCCCGATCTGTGAGATAAGCGAGGACCCTTTCAGGCTGGTTTCCTCCGCGGAGAAAGGAGGGACGGAAGCTCCCGGCCACCCACCTGCTATGCAGCTGGAGGATGCTGACTTACCTGCCCCTGGACCAGCACGGACCAGCTCTCCGGACCAAAACCAGAAAGTTATCTACGCCACCGTCCAGCACACGCACGTCACCCGGGCGGATCCCGAGGCTGTAGTCACGCCCCACGTGCTCCAGCACCCCGGCGGTGCCGAGGAAGAGGGGGACAGAGCTGTGGGCAGAGCCCACCCGGGGAACAAGCCCAAAGCCGAGCTCAAACTCAGCCGCAGCTTGTCCAAGTCGGACTCGGATCTCCTGACCTGCTCTCCCACGGAGGACGATGCCATGGGGAGCCGCAGCGAATCCCTCTCCAACTGCAGCACCGGGAAGAAGAGGCTGGAGAAGTCCCCGTCCTTCGCCTCGGAGTGGGACGAGGTAAGGCTGCCCTCGCTTAGGAGCTGCTGTGCCAGGGGTGAATCTGTGCAGTGACCTCCTCTACCACATCCCTCAGGGGGGTCCGAGGGGGGGTTTCACTACTTTTACTAACTCTCACATCACAATAACAGACAAATGTGGTAGAGGTAGTTTCACTACTTTTACTAACTCTCACATCACAATAACAGACAAATGCTCACTTGTAAGTCTTTAAGGTGTTAAATGCCAAAAGAGAGAGTTAAATGGAGTGGGGGAGAAGCAGAACTGCAAGAAGTGAGGGGTTTTTCAAAGTTTTTAAGTTGCTCAAATACAGGGCTTGATTTCTTTCAGGCAATCAGTTTTTACATCTCCAAAATAGGGGAGAGTTTGCTAAGTGCTCCTCACAGATCTTTATGTTGACCTCCTCTTTCCAAATCCTTCCCCCGAGGACTCTCCCAGCATCCAGAGATATTTTGTTTCTGAGCCCTGGCTGCTGGGTGGGGTGGGGGGATAAGCAGTGTCCTGGGTTCATGGGGATGGAAGGAAGAGAGTAATTAGGCTGTGTTTTGTGTATTTAATAGCTCCCGCTTTCCTCTTCACATATTTATTTCAGAGGCTTGTTAGAAGTCACTTTATTATAGTACAGGAGGCCCATGGATAGTTAAATATTTCATGCTCAGAAAGTTGGCCCTAGTGAACCACTCGGGCGAGATTAAGTGTCCCTCTGAAATTCAGCACGGCAGCATTACTGAAACATTCTTTGGAGATGATTCTCCGCCGTGGAGCGGGCGCTGCGCAGGAGATAAGCTGGGATGAACCACTCTTTGTACACTGAAGGGACTGGAAGCCCCGGCGTGGTGCTGGGGAGAGGAGCCGGGTGTGAGCTCCTGGGACGGCCGTGCCCCCACTCGCCGCCTCCCTGCGCTGACTGGTGCTCAGCTGCCTCTCCTGTCCCAACTTGGGGAGAAAACCCATCTTTTTGTGGGAAAGGGAGACGTTCAAAGGTGCTAAAAGCAAAGTGGGAATCCCTCCTTGCTGCGAGCCCATCCTTCGGTTCATACTCTCACTCCCTGCAGTGTTTTCAGCCAAAGACATTTACGTTCAGCGTTGCCAAATACATCTATTTTCCACAGTAGCTGTTTCGGTTGTAGAAATTTTGCTGTTAATTACCTGGGTCAGTTTTACCATGGCTGTTAGTGAAAGATCCTGCAGCAGAAGGTTTATTTGAAAGGACTGGCTCGTTTTCACTGTGCTTTTCATGCCTAACTGAGCTGTTTACAGCAAACGCTGAAAGGGAAGGAGCCTTTGACTTTCTGGTGCTGCTCAGCCTGACTCGTAGCAGAGGTCAAGGCGTTAGTGAGCCTGGGCTTCCTCTGCTCCCAGGAATGAACCCGCAGATCTGCTTCCCTGCTTGTAAACAAAAAGCATCATTTCCACCCAGTGTCAGCCTAACAAGCCACAGGAGGAAAATCTGCTTTTCCTTCCTGTTAGGAGGAAAATGGAGAAAGAATGTGAAAAATTCACATCTGTCTCCAGTGGGGCAGGTCTAACTTAAAAAAAAAATAATAATATTGTATTATTAAAACCTGATGGTTTTATTTGTCTTCCTGGTTTCTGGCGTAATTTAAACATTTTGTGGAATTGCTTTTATCTGGTGGCAGCATCCTGTGGCTGGAGCCCTGGTTTGCCGTGGGGTCTCATGGCTGTCACGGACCAGCCTGAAGGATCCCGGACAAAGGTGTCTCCTCTCTGCCTCAGTTTCCCCATCTGTGAGATGGCAATAGCCTCTTTTTGCAGGATGTTTTTTGTTCCCATGGAAAAACACTGTGTAAAGTTAAATATTCTCATAGGAAGAGGGACAAACCAGCAGCTGGTGATTCACTGCCTGTAGCTTGATTTGCTCCTTAATTTCCAAAGGCTGTATGTATAGAGGCACGTGGGGTCTCATCCTGGCTCCGGTGCAACACTTGCACCCTTTGATGCTGTCAGCAGGAGGGGCATGGTTCATGGGGCAGAGCAATTTTCTCTGGAATCAGCATAAAACGGGGCTGCTTATAGTAGTTTATATGGTCAGGCCGTTCTTGCTATAAAATATTCTAAAGCAGACTCCTATTACTGGTAAGAAATGGTAAAGATGCACCTGTGGGGAATATTTTGGGGTCTTTTGCAGTGATTTGTATGTGCAGAAAGGGGCTGATCTGGCTGGTCCTAATGGCAACAATGAGATTTAAACATAAATGTAGTGCTGCTGTTGGAGGTTTAATTAGTTCCCTGAATGGGGTAATGCAGCTGCTCTGAATCAGATGCAACTTGCAGCCTCTGAATTTCCCGGCTGATACAAAACCTTGTTGAGCCGCCCCTGTTAGTGATGATTTGGCTCTTCCTCTGTGTTGAGGGGAAACAATGGCAGATTTAGATGCATTATTCTGTTAATTTTAATAGTCTTTATGCAGGCAACTGAGGAGGAAAGCGGTCCATGTGCAGCTCTGTGCATCGTGCAGCTGCAGCAGACGAGCTGAGGGCTTTGCCCAGTGGCCTTGCCAGCAGTAGGTGCGTCTGTTCAGGGACCTGGGGAGGGACCTGTTTGTGTCCGTGGACAGATGGGATCCATGGCAGAGGCTGAGTGAGCATCGCTCTGGGCCATGGGTGACTGTTCTCACTAGTCCAGCTGACCAGGGACAGCAGGAAAATCATAGAATCGCAGAATGGTTAGAGTTGGAAAGGACCTTAAAGATCATCAAGTTCCAGCCCCCCTGCCCTGGGCAGGGACACCTCCCACCAGACCAGGTTGCTCCAAGCCCCCTCCAACCTGGCCTTGAACCCCTCCAGGGATGGGGCAGCCACGGCTTCTCTGGGCAACCTGGGCCAGGCTCTCACCACCCTCACACCAAACAAGTTCTTCCCCACATCTCAGCTCCATCTCCCCTCTTTCAGGGTCAAACCCTTCCCCTCCTCCCATGGCTCCCCTCCCTGATCCAAGAGTGGAGTGATGAAATCTGCCATTGGAAGCGAAGGGTCACGTCCCTTCCCCAGCCGAGCGCTGCTGATGCCCTTTGTTGGAAGTGGAAGGTGGTGCTGGCTTTGCCAAAAGGGTGGGATGGGGAAGGAATGATTCACTTGGCAAAGCTCCTTCCCAGTCCCAGTTGCAGCTCCCCAGCTCCAAGGACCTGGCCCAAATCACAGATGCCGACAGCTCTCCTCTGTGCTGCTACAGGATGCTCAGTGAGTCCCGGCTGCTCCCGACCCACCGGCTCCTTCGGGATGTGGTGTCCCCTCTGCTGCTGTGGGGTGGAAACTCCCCCAAGCAAACCAGAGAAATTATTAAAGCAAACAGCAGCACATTGCCCAGGGAGAGGGGGGTGAGGACCGAAAACAGTCGATCCTCCACTTGAGTGGGGAAAAAGCTGGGGAGAGGAAGCGGGTGAGGGGGGCAGGGCTCCCAGTCAGCATAAATATTTGAATCCTTCCAAACTTGGCTGAGGGCTAAAGTGATAAATTTGTTTTTTGTAATCGGCTCATAAATATTTAGCAGCCAGGAGATGAGCACACAGCAGTTGCAGCTCACTATGAATTTTGTATAGGGGAATAAACTGTGTGTGCTCCTGAAGGAGGAGGGGGGCTCTCAGCTGGCAGCCCCCTTTCCGGGGCGAATGAACTGGCATCTGCTCTGCCCTGCTCCTCTGAAGAGCAGCTCCAGCCCTCTCATCTGCCCGGGTTCATGGCTGAGCCCTGCCAGAGGTGGCAAAGCTTGTGTCATGGAAAATGGTACTGAAGTCCCTGGGAGCTCAGCAAACCTCCTCCCACAGGGTGCCATCCAGGAGGGGCTGAGCTGAATTCTCCCTTGGTGATAAGTTATTCCAGGTCTCCTCGGATGAAAGGCAACATATGCATGTTTAATACAAGGGCATGTAGCAATAGATGAGGGGGAAGGGTTTGACACTGGAAGAGGGGAGATGGAGCTGAGATGTGGGGAAGAACTTGTTTGGTGTGAGGGTGGTGAGAGCCTGGCCCAGGTTGCCCAGAGAAGCTGTGGCTGCCCCATCCCTGGAGGGGCTCAAGGGCAGGTTGGAGGGGGCTTGGAGCAACGTGGTCTGGTGGGAGGTGTCCCTGCCCAGGGCAGGGGGTGGCACTGGGGGGGCTTGAAGATCCCTTCCAACCCAAACTGTTCCATGATTCTATAATACGAGCAGTGAGCTGTGTAACAAAGGTACGTACCAGCTCTGCTTTATTCCCCCCCCACGCCATCTGCTCACTTTCAGCCAGGTTTAGGTGTTAAATGGTTCCTTCTCTCCCTGCCCCAGCTTCTGGTGCATTTTTTTCCATGTCCTTTTCTCCCTCTGATAGATCAGGGTGTCTGTGCTGAAGAAGAGTGTGACCAAGATGAAGTAAAACTATCAGGATCCTTCACTGAGCTGCCACAGCTCTGCTGGGGAAGCAGCTTCCTGACAGTGAGAGTAATTAGCGGGGATGTAATCTCCCAGGGGAAGCAGCAGAGGAATGATGGCTGGACTGGAGGATGTTGTAAAATAGTCCTCTAAAAATTGCACTGGCTTGAGGAGCAGTCGGGCTGTGACAGACACTGTGTCCCTGGGATGCTGTCAGGCTGATAAAAGCCACACGGGGGTATCTGGAAGCCACGTCCGTGCTGCTGATGGGACTGAGTGGGTGATGAACTGAAAACCCCTACATGCAGATAGCAGAGAAATGGGGTCCGTTTGCGGAGGATGAAGAAGAGGGGGGAGGGCTTTTGCAAAATGCAGAGGTTTTGGGCAGCATCTCAGTCTCAAGAATTTCAGTTTAGTGTCTTTATAATTGGTTTCTGATGCGCTGCTGCTCCCGCAGTTATCTCAGTGGTTCATTTCTGCTTTTTACCTGTGTGGCCAGGACCCCCCATCTGGGGGGGGTATTTTTTGAGGATTGTGTGGGTTTTTGTGGTCGTTCTTGGTATGTTGGAGGGTCAGGAGATGCATCTGTGCAGCCTGGTGTCACCAGCCCATATCTGCATCCCCGTCTGGAGCTGA